CAAAGCAGGAGAAAAGAGGAAAATCAAGTCATTTTGTCAGGAAATAAATTGGGTTACTTATAGCTGAAAGCATTCTTAGAAGTAACAAAGTTCACAATCGGCACTCCTTTTTAAACTAAATTCACATGTCCTATTCCAAATTGAGGTGTGTATTTCAGGGATGGCATATCATGCGCAAACTCAGTTTATAAAACATAGGTCAATGTACCAGCGCTTAGTAAAATAAAACTGATGCTACTAAATGGTGATAAATAAAGTTGGACATCACTGTGATTTAAAGACTTCAAAATTATTTATTACCAAATAAGTTACAGGAGAATGTCTGTAACTGCCCCAGTACTCGTGTTTATGTTATCCTGCAGCACACTGTACAATGTGTGGTTCATTTTGGAAAGAAACAATGAGATAACAACATCCACTACCATACTACTGCCACACTTTACACCATGGGCAGTGCAATACAGAAAACATATGAAAAAAGGGAGAAATACGAATGATAGGATTTTCCAGTGACAATAGTTTCTAAGCAAAAAATTCATATAAATAAATAAAATGATATTGAATTTCCTAGCTATGGAATACAAGATTATCACAAAAAATGAAACCTTTTTCTACACCTCAGTCATAAGTTGCTTATAAAAAAATTGTGAAAATTGATCTTTGCAACATTTAAAAATCATGAAATATGTAGTGATATATCCTGTAATGGTTTTGAAAGATATCAAAGTTAAATTACTGAAATACTCCTTTGACAATAAAAATTAAATCGGTGGCCGCAGAAAGCACGTTCACAGATGGAAAGGCTCAAGAACGGAACAGTTTCTCTTTCAGTGTGTCTTCATATGTATTTCCCTGGGACTCAACAATCATGTTAGCTTCCTACTATGAGGTTATTCATTGAAGATCTGGGAAAAATTTATAAAGTTTTGATATAGATGAAATAAGTGAAGTAAGGGGAGTAATCAAGGCACGCTCTGTATTACTTTGAAAAAATAGAAAGCTTTCATGTATCTGCCAGATTTGAAAGGAGAATAAATCACAAGCAGTAGTATACAGGAGTTACTCTCTATATACTATTCTTTTATTTTGTGTATAGAAACAAATGCAAAAGTGATGTGTGATGATGCATGCCTGGAACCAATGGCTCCAGCTAACTGAGGCAAAACGATTTTCTGTGGCAACAGAGTGAATTAAAGAGATCCTTTTTCCAAGTTATAAAATTTAAAAGGGTTAAGAATATATCTCAGAGCAAAGTTTCTGAATTCAATCCCACATATTGAAAAAGAGAGAAAGAAAATGAAAACTTAAAAATTAATAATTAAATTCAAGTCTAGTAAGTTTCTAGGAATGATTTTTTTGGGGGGGAAAGTGAAATAATATACTTAGGCAAGTTTTAATTTTTAATACATATGGAGCAGTGTGTGAAGTGTCTAGACCATCAATATGCCAAAACTCAAAAAACCACCGCCTGCAAAAAGCTGTGACTTTTTTAGCTTATGAAGATCCTTTGGGAAAAGTTCTGGCTGGCACCGCCCTGAGTCTCCCTGTCCTCACAGCTGCTGTCCTTGGGCTCTTTGTGAAGCACTGAGACACTCCCATTGTCAAGGCCAACAACCAGGCTCTCAGCTACATCCTGCTCTTCTCCCTCACCTTCTGCTTCCTCTGCCCCTTGCTCCTCATTGGCCGTCCCTGAACAGCCAGCTGCATCCTCCAGCAGACCACATTCCCAGTTGTCTTCACTGTGGCTGTTTCCATTATCCTGGCCAAAACCATTACTGCGGTGCTGGCCTTTAAGGTCACTGCTCCAGGCTGAAGGATGAGGTGGCAGCTGCTATCAGGGCCACCAATTACATCATCCCCATCTGCTCCCTGATCCAACTCACTCTCTGTCATGTCTGGATGAAGACAAATCCACCCTACATTGACACAGATGCACACTCTGAGCATGGCCACATCATCATCCTGGGCAACAAGGGCCCCTCACTGCCTTCTACTGTGTTCTGGGATTCCTGGGCTCCCTGGCTCTGCTCAGCTTCACTGTGACTTTCCTGGCCAGGAACCTGCCTGACACCTTCAATGAAGCCATCTTCCTGACATTCAGCATGCTGGTGTTCTGCAGTGTGTGGGTCACCTTCCTCCCCGTGTACCACAGCAGCAAGGGAAGGTGATGGTGGCCATGGAGGTTTTCTCCATCTTGGCCTCTGGCGCAAGGCTGCTGGGCTGCATCTTTGCCCCAAGTGCTACATTACTTTGTTAAGACCACAGGGAAATAGCTTCCCTGGATTCAAGGTAAAATACATTCTGGATGAAAAAAGCCTTTTTAAGTTGAAAATATACTCGTTTACTAAAATATGTCTAGTGTCTGAGGCAATTCTGCATCATTTTCCAGTCTTACATTTGATAGTTTGGGATTTACTGAAATGAATAAAGGACTTTTAGTTTTTTCTTTAACAATCTTACACTTGTAATTGTGAGTAACTATCACATCTTTCAACTGGAATTTTATTCTAGATTTTTGATTGTACAGCCAATCTTATTATCTGTGTTAAATTTTGATTGTTATTCCATTTTGTTTTCTCCTTGAATTTTTTAACACTGCTAGCAAATTTAACACACTTTTGGTTATAGATCCAATTCTTCAATCCCCTTAAGCATTTAAGAATTTCTCTCACATTAGTCTTTTAATATTCCAGAAATTACCCATCATATGTTACAAGAAATATTATTTAAGATAATAAGGTGTTAAATTCATATTTTAACTCAGGTGTGAATGTATTAGTGTGTAGTACTGATTTTTCCCATGCATAGTTGTATGATTCTTCCCATGTTGCCTTGTTCACTAATCCTTTGTTAACATGAATCATGTATCTATGTCTAGTGTTTGCTTTGTATACCTTTTATATATATAAATCAGTGGGGAAGGGACAGATGCTGTCTGGCTGCCCTGCTGTTGTAGTAAATGATGGGACTTAATAGCCAGGGAGGAACTACAGCAAACTGTCCCAGTCCATTGGGGGGCAAGGAAGAGAAAAGGGGAGTAGACAGGAGGTCAGTCTGCTATTGGTCGGACTGCTCAGCCCCTCCAGCTGAAGAAGTGAGTCAGGTTCTTCTACTATCACCAATTCACTGAGGCAGTGTGTCATTTTCAGTGACTGAAATAATATTCCCATTCAGGCTGACACAGTCCTGTAGCAAAACAAACTGTTTTACCATGATGGTTGAAATCCACCTTTACCCAGTTACCATCAATTGTGAACTGTACATTTCTTAGGAGAGTGTATTTTCTTTTCCTAAGATGTTTTTCTTTGAAAACAATATTGCATATATATGCCCACTGCAACAGAAATCTATCAGTTAAGCATACCAAGTATCATAATAAAATTTCTTTTTAAGCAAGATAATGTCTGCAAAACTCATGATAAACACTAAGCATAAGGGGCACTTCAAAAAAAGAAAGTGAAGGTACGACAGGTGGCCAGCCAGGCTTTTTTTTTTTTAACTTAAAGAGAAAAAAGAAAGGAAAAAAAAAAAACAGTAAGAGAGTACAAGTAATACAGAATTTCAAGAACAAAATATACAGTAAGAAATAACTAGTTAATAGATTACATATTGTCATCTTAGAAACAGTTGTCCAAATTACAAAATTAAAGCATACAAAGTGGACATTCATACAGTGAGCTTGCAAACAATTCTGTTCAATGATCCAACAAAAACTCAGTAATTTGGTTTTCTATCCTACACACTTAAATATACATGCATTTATATCCTTTAGACCACTTTTTTTCCTCCCTTTTTTACAATAACAATTACACTTTTTGGGTTTTATTACTCCCACAGTTCTTATTACTTTTATTTGAAGAGAATAAAACCAAGTGTGACAAAACAAAACAGAGTCAGTTAGAACAGAGGGATGGGCATAGAACATGATGTAAAAATAGCATACTAGGTGATCAAAAATGGTTACCATTATGCCTCTTGCTGTTTTAAAAAGAGTTGCCTATATCATCAGGTATAACAGAATTGACCAAAACAGTACAGAACAAGACCAATAAAACCTACACTGGAGACCTTACAGAACTTCAAAAGAAGATAATAGTCAAACCATAATGGGCTTCATAGTAAATCTTATTGCCTTCAAAGTGGTTGCCTGTACCCTCAAACTTGATACTATCAAACATAACAGAATATAGTAAAATCAGACAGAACAAGATGGGGAGAGCAATAATGGGCTTCAAATCAGGTTAACAGGAAAACAAAAAAGTTACTATAATATATCCTGCTAGCTTTTTAATTTAGTTTTCCCTTAATTAAAAAAATAAGAAAAATAAATTAATTTTTTTTAAAAAGGGGGGAGATTGAAATAAAAGAGGACATAGTAACAGAACAACACAGGTCAGAACCGAACAATTTAAGCATCATTGTGTTTCACCACCAGATAACCTGACATAATAGTAGTCACCATAGTGTCCTTTCCTTGAATTATTCAGCCAGGCTTTTCACCACTCATCACCATGCAGAGTACCAGACCTGGGACCAGAGACAGGAGAGAAACAGGGAAGACTTTGAGGCAAAGAACTCGAACTGCTCATATCCACTGCAAAGCACCAAACAGGACAGCATTTTTAGCTTTTAGAACAACCACTCAAGTAACCACTCCCAGAAAATTGGGCGAACACATATAGTAAAATCAAACTTCGCTCTTTGTTAGTAACTTTATCAAGCAAAACGACTGCTTAATCAGCCTTGTACGTTCGGCGAAGAGGATCTATCAAACCCTCACACTGCCCGGAGAGTCCCAGGAGCACGGTAATAGGGCCGGGCTTGGGATCGGAGACCGGATAATAGCTTAAGATCTAGGAAGCTCTACGATTTTGTTTCGGGAACATCAACCTCGGCCAGGAAAATAGTGGGCAGCTGAGCAGCACAGCGCAAATAAAGCCACGCCCCGCTCTTAACCAGAGGCCACACCTCCCAGCACATTCCAAGTGCGCAGGCGCGGGGATGGGGGCGTGGCATCGTGGTTCGCGCGCTGTGACGCGCCGCTGAGGAGGCGCTGGTTTCCAATTCAGTGTGGTGGCCCAGGATCTCTCTCTCTCTCTCCACTGGACCCAGCCCAGCGGTCCTGCCCTGAGGGAGGACAGTAAGCGCGGTGGCAGAGCTGAAGACTGGAGAACAGGTAGAGGAAGGTCATACGCCCGAGAGGGTGGTCGCTAGGGGCTGAGGGAGGGAGCGGGACTGGCGGAGCCCAGGGGCGGGTGTGTGGTTCGCGGGGCGGGGCCTCGTGAAGGACGAGCGATAGGCCAATGGGCGAAGGGCGGGCCCGGAAGGTCGGGGCCTTCCGAGAACTGGCGCGCTATTTGGTATACTGAGGACCACTAGCGGGCCTCTGACCTTAAATTGGGGTGTCTGTGCCAAGTGCTTTCCTAAGGCATTTAGTGATCGCCACTGTGGAGCGTGTGCGCCACAGCCATGGCGCGGAGTTCACCGGAAAACGTTTGTGGGAGATGTTGCTCCTGCCCACGGAGCCCCTGAGTAGATCTGAGGAGGAGACAGATAACCTCCTCAGCAATGCTGAGCGAATCTGTTGCAGTGGCATTTGATCTCCCCTGTTATTTAACCTTGGTTGACCTGTGCTGCTTCTGGGGTAATAAGATCCCTACTTACACTCACGGGGAAAGGAAATGCTGATTATTTATTTTCTGCATTGTTGTTAGAAAACTTAGTCTTTTCTTTTGCCTTCCTTATTGTGGAGAGAGTATGGGTCAGGTGTTGTAACCTAACCAAAGCGCTGCCATCCTGTTCTGTAAGCATCCTTGCCCAGAGCTTTATTCCAACTTCTTTTTTCCATAAATTACTCCCTTCCAAGAACACCAGTGTGAAGGGACTGGAGATTTAGCTCAGCGGCATAAGCGCCTGCCTTCCAAGCAGGTAGTCATGGGTTTGACCCCCGGTACAGATAAAAAGGAAAAAGACAAAAAAATTAAAAAATAAAAAATAAAAAAACCAGCAATGTGTTCCTAGAACTAGCTGACCACAAGTTACACAAGTTAATACCCTGTAGAGTTAAGAAATTTGTCTCCAGGCCAAATCAAGAGACAAAAGACCTTCTTCCCCTCGAACCCCCTCCCTTTGCTTAGCGAATTTTCCCTTTGTAAAACCTCCCAGGAACCTAACCTAGTTGCACAGCTCTGCAGTTTCCAACGCGACTGTGCCCCTGGATACCAGCTTAAATAAAGTGCTGCTTTTTCTTTTTGGATGACGTCTTGCCTCATTTTTGAGGTATATCATTGGGGTGCAACATCAGGAAATATGATACTTGAGGGTATGGGGAGCAGCAGAGACCCCTCCTGGGCTCAGCCACCTGCTGCGTGAACTTCATTGAGTCACTGTTCCCAGTCTCTTCTTCTTCACCTATGAAACAGCTGATGGAAATACAAAGCACACGAGGTTTCTGCCATTAAGGATGGCTCTTGGACTGGATATTGAAGTCAGGACATCTCTCTACCCACACCAGTGAACAGCAGAAACCTCTGGCTACACCCCCTTATGTCTAGCTGGCTACTTAAATATTTATCAGAATTCTATTAAATACCCTTGTTATGCTAACGCCCCTCCCCTGGGACCTGAAAGTCGAGAAGAGAGATTTCTCGTTTTACATAGTTTATAGAAAAATAGTGAGTGAAATAGGTTCAGTTAGTGCTAAGAGCTACAAAGAAATTAAGTACAAGGTGATATGATAAAGGTGCAACCTAAAGCAGAATGCGTGCATAGTTTGTGTGCGCATGCACGTGGTACATGTCTGTATGTTGCAGTGTTTTGGACTCTTGTCAAGTGGCAAAATTGGGGAGTGAGCTGAATCCTGAATATTGAGTTATCATTTCCACGGCAGGGGAGCTACCAATTACTAGGCACAGATTGATTAGGTAAGGCTCAATGTCTCACCAAAGATATGTAGATTGACCTGCAAGCCTCCTTTACAGAGAGGGAGTAGGTGGTACTCATCAGTCTTTGTCTGGGGATTGAAAACTAAAACAGGAAAGAACTTTTACCTTGGCAGAGGTAATTGAAGAGGCTGTGTGCAGACTAAAAGATCTGGATGGTCAGAAAATAGGAGTAGGCCTAGGAAGTCAGATTGGGGCTCCATCTGGCATCTGACTGGATAGCAGAATTATTTACAGTCCCCCATCTCTTCCCTCCCCAATGATTTAGAGTGAACCCAAGTGTTTATGTAGGCAAATGCTCCACATCTGAGCCACTGGTCCAGCCAGGAATTATTCTATTTCTTTTTTTAATTAATGAATTTTATTGGTACATTTTAGATATGCATAATGCCAACATTCATGGTATGAAATGTGTCTGTATGTGAGATAACTTGATTCTTTTTTCCTCTTCCCCTCTCTTCCCTTCAACTGCTCATCTCTTCCTTATTTACAAAACCTTTGTTTTCATTTTTCCTTCTATTCTCCCTTTTTCTGTTCCCAATCCTCTCCCTAGTTCCCCTTCTCATTTGAATATTTTCTTCCTATTTCACAATATCTAATACACATTTCAATCCAAGTATAAATATACCCTTTCAGTTTCGCACAACATATAAATGGTGTAATATTTGAGCACGTGTGTCTGATTTATTTCACTTAAGACTATAGTCTCAGCGTTCATCCATTACGTAGAAATTTCTCAAGCTTACCCTTTTTATGGCTGAGTTGCGCTCCATTATATTAAAAAAAACCGATACCTTCAGTATCCATTCATCAGTTGATGGGCATTTGACTTGTTTCCAAAATTTAACTATTACCAGTTGCTACTATAGACATAAGCATATTGCTGTGGTGATTCTTTTAATTCTTTTTGGAAGATACCAAGAAGGGGGAAAACTGGGATAAGTGGAACCTGTAGACCTAGGTTTTAAGGAATTTCCACACTGATTTCCATAGTAGTTATACCAGTCTACATTCCCACCAATAGGACATAAGGGCTGCTTTATCCCCACAGGCCTTCTAGCATTTGTTATTTGTTGATTTCTTGACAATAGCCACATTTTCTTGACAGTAACGAGATGCAATCTCAGTATTTTTTTAATTTGCATCTTTCAAGTCACCAGTCATCTTGAACCTTTTTTACATGTATTTATTTGCCATTTGTATTTCTTGACCTGAGAAATGTATATTCATTTCAGATGCGCATTTTTAGATTGGGGCTTTAAATTTGAAGGGTCGGATTTTATTTTAGTTCTTTATATATTCTCGACATTTCCACCTCTGTGAGTTGCCTGTTTACTCTGTTGGTGATTTCTTTTGCTGTGCAAAACTTTTTAGTATGACGTGATCCCAGTTGTTGATTCTTTTGTGAATTTTACTGTGAGATTAGAGTTTTGTTCATTAAGTGTTTGCCTACACCTTTGTCTTTTGAGTTCTACTTATTATCTCTTACAGCAAGTTTAGTGTTTCTTTTAATATTTAGATCTTTGATCCATGCGATTTTAATTTAGTATGTGGTGAGAGAGATATGGATCTAGTTTTAGTCTTTGGCATGTGGAAAAGCCAGCTTTCCCCCCACTATTTATTAAAGAGGCTTTCTTTCAATGATTATGTTTGAACATTTTTTAAACATTATGGTTTAGTTTGTTCAGAATTGTTTCTGTATCCTCTGTGCTGTTCCATTGATCCTGGGTTCTGCTTTTCTTTTGTTGTTATTTTTTATTTATGTATATATTTAGTTTTGCTGATTTTTCCTTCTCTTCTCAGTATTGTGCTGTTTAGTCACAGTAGCTCTGAAGTATAATTTCAAGCCAGAGATTGTAATGCCACCTGCCTTGCTTTTGTTGTCCAGGATTCCTTTTGCTATTCTGTGTCTCTTCAAATCAATTTTAGAAATGTTTCCTCTAATTTGGTGAGGTATGCTATAGATATTTTCATCAAAATTACATTATATCCTTATAGCAGTTTTGGGAGTATGTACAGTTTCACTATATTGGTTCTTCTTACCCCCAGAATAAGGAATAGGCTTCCATTTTCTAACATCCTCTTCAATCTCCCTTTTCCAACTACTGCAATTTTGGGTGGTAAGTTCTTTTACTTCTTTCATTTGGTTAATTCCTAATTATTCCTTTTTGGGGTTTTTTGGATGCTATTGCAAAAGATATTGTTTCTCTAATTTCTCTCTGATTTTATTATTTGGATATAGGAATGCAATGAATTTTTAAACAAGATGTAATACAAAATTTGGTTTTTAAATCTAAGTGTCTTTTGGTGACATTTTGGTGTTGTCTATGTAGAGTATCATGTCATGCGCAAATAATTGTTTGTTCCTTTTCCATCTTTATTCCTTTTATGTCTTTCCCTTCTCTCTTTTCTTTGGCCGTTATTTCCTGAACAACATTGAACGGGCATAGTGATAGTGGACATCCGTGTCTTTTTCTTGATTTTAGAATGACAGCTTTCAGTTTTTGTCCATTTAGTATGATGCTGGCTGTTGGTTTGTCATAGATGGCTTTTATCTGTTTGAGATAAAGGTGATGTATTCCAATTTTCTATAGGGTTTTTATCATGAATGGGTATGAGAATTTGGACCCTATGGTCTGAGAATATGCATGGAATAATTTCAGTATTCTGTGGGTTAGTATGCGTTCTGTTTTGGATAACATCTCATGCATAGCTGAGAAAAATGTGTATTATGACATTGTAGGGTGGAACACTGTACATATCTACTGAATCCATTTGTTCCCAGGTTTGGTTCACTTCTGATACTTCTTTGTTGATTTCTTATCTAGTTGATGTGCCTATTTTTGTCTGTGGGGTATTATGATCCCCTGTTACTATGATTATTCATGTCTGTTAAAATGTTTTACTATAATATGTTTTAATATAGTATAGTTAATATAATACAATGTGTTTTAATATAGTTTAATATATATGTACTGGCATTTGGTACATGCATATTTATGATCTTTCCCTCTTGCAGTTTTGTCTTAGCGAGTATGTAGTGCCTTCTTTGTCTCATTTAATCAGTCTTGGTTTGAAGTTCACTGTCTACAAATAAACTAGTTACTTGTACCTTTTTCTGGGTTCGTTTTTCATCCTTTGAATTTCAGTCTCTTGATTGCTTTTTGAGTTTAAATGTGTTTCTTGTATGCAACATATTGTTGGATCTTTTTGTTCATCCATTTTGCCACTCTGCTTCTTTTGAATGGTGAATTGAGGCCATTTACATTGGTAGTTATAAGTAATATGTATTGATTTATCCTGTTGTATTTTCTTGTTGTTGGTTCCTTACCATTCCCCTCTGTTTAATTGATTGCCTTTCCTGGTAGTTTCTTATCGTTGGTGTTCTTGGAATTACACTCTTGTCTCTTTCTAAAATATTTTTCAGAATATTTTGTTGAGCTAGTTTAGTGATCATGAATTTCTTCAGTTCTTTGTCGTAGAAGTATCTTATTTCTTTATCAACTTTGAAAAATAGCTTTGTAGGATATATCAGTCTGGGTTGGAGGTTGTTTTCTTTTGGGTCCTGAAATACTTCACTCCGAGCTTTCTTGACTTAAGGGTTTTGTATTGAAGTCTTCTGTGATTCTGAGGGTCTTCCTTTATAGTTGATTTGTTTTTCTCTTAACAGCTTCTAGTATTGTATATTGTGCTGAATTTCTGGAATCTTAACTATTATATGTCTTAGGTTACATTTTGTATACTTGTTTTTGCTTGTTTGTTTTTCGTTTTTGGTACCAGGGTCTTGCTTCCAGTGTAGATTGACTTTGAACTCACTATGTAGCCCAGGCTGGCCTTGAACTCATGGTGATTCTCCTACATCCTGATCGCTGGGACTCTGGGTGTGTGTCACCATGTCTGACTTGGCTAGATTTTTTAAATCATGGCTAATTGGAATTGTATATGCCTTATTATTTGGGTTTCAAATTGTTTTTTCATGTTTGGGAAGTTTTCTGCCATTACTTTGGTAAATAGGTTTTTTTATGTTGTTTGCAGTATCTCCTGAGTTGCCATTGACTCTGTTCAATCTTACTTTATTCTTCCTTGAAGCACCTAGCAGCTGCTAGATTGATTTTTCATGGTCCCTTTCTATTTTTAACAAATCTTTATTTTCATGGTTGCAAACCAAAATTCTGTTTTCTAGATCTGACATTCTGTCCTCACATTGTCTCTTGCCCCTGTGTATCTTTTAAATGGAATTTTTAATCGCATAGGCATCTCTTTGAATCTATTTCTTGGTTTTCAATTTTTTCCTTATATGGGGAATTTATGGTTTCCATCATTTTCCTGAGCTCCTCTTATGATTTTTATGTATATCTTCTCTAGAATCACTAATCATGCCCTTCATTATGCCCATCATCTCTGAAGTCATCTGAGAAATTATTTCTGATTTGACTTTTTCCTAGAGCCTCATTCATCTGCTTTGTTCCTTTTACTGATACCACTTCAGAGAGTCCAGAAGGGTTGCTTTCGAATTGTTTCGCCTCATCGTCCCTTGGATCTGCCTTTGGGGAACTGCTGAGCAGGAGTTGCGTCTGGCTTTTGTGTTTTCTCATTTTCTGTTTTTTATTTCAGTATAATTCATGCATTGATGCTTGTAAATTGCTTGTGGTAAGCATCTTTATTCTCAACTCTTAAGAAATGACTGCTTCTTAGAGATGTCTTCAAATTATAGCTGACTCTTGGGTGTTGATTCTGTTGTAAAATTCTACTGCTCAACTTATTGGGGATGAGAAGTTGCTGCCTGCTTGGGTTACTAGCTTGTGGTTCTTTGGCACTGGCCTGTAGTATTGTTTATGATCCTCAGGTAGTCTCCTTCTTGGCATATATGAAAGAACAAATGATTAGACCAGTTTTGTCACCTTGGGTAAAGTAGTACAATGAGTAATAATTGCATCCTACACCCCCTAAAAAATGACAGCCTTGGGGCCAGGGATATAGCTCTGTGGCACAAGTGCCTGCCTAGAAAATGACAACCTTCATAACTATTGATTTGCCACCTTTATACATATGAACAGAACTTGTAGTTACCTAAGCAAATCTAAAAGAAACCAGAAAGTTCTGTACAGTACATAGTCCCTTAAAAGGCAATTTTATCCTCGGGAAAGAAAATTAAAAATGAGTTAAGGGGAAAAAATAGAGCAAGAAAAGAAGAGAAAGGGATTAGAAGCAAGGCTGGAGGACAAAGAAAGATTTGGAAAACTGGTGAAGAGGACAGGAGGGAACGGAAGAAAGACAGGTACAGTGGAAAAGAAACAAAAACCAAGTAGTATAAAAACAGGAACAATCAATCAAGAAAAAGAAAAAATAAAAATATAAAATTTTAAAAAATTAAAAAGCAAAGGAAAGAAAGTAGAAATAAATGTCCACTTTAGGGTGTGTCTCTACTGTCACTGGTTGACAGAGGGGCCAGACAGAGCCCAGATCCATGCTGACTGATCCCAGCAAACCAGCAGTAGGATTACGGTGGTGGTGGATAATCCCAGCAGGCCTGGGCCTTTAATTCCCTTGAAATTCAGACTACTTCTGTATTCTGGCTATGGGCTTGGGCCTGTTTTTCAGCCCACTACACCCCAAATGACTGCGGCTGACTTGAACTCTGCTCCCTGGACCAACTTGAGCATGGCTGCGCTTCACTCTGAGGCTTGTGGCCACTAGATGGCGCCAGGCCTCCAGGTGTTCTGAGTTGTGACTTCTGTTGCCCCTTTCCTGAAAGGCTGCTGACCAGTCATCCTTTCCTGGGGGACATCTGAACCTGAATAACCACCAGCCCCTGCAGTCCACAGCGTCCACTGCTCTGTTCTACCAGTGTGTTTCTCCATGGAAGCCCTTGGGGTCACTGGTAGTCACTGTGCCTCTGGGGGTCCAAACTGCCCCTCGCTTTCCCAGAACATGGGCTCAGGGAGAAAACAGTGCTTGCCACCTCCCTGCTCTGCTCTGTGGTCCCCTCTTCATTCTCCTCGTAGGCTGTAATTCTCACCTCAGATCCTTTCAGGGTCCCAGGAACACACTTACCTCCTCCTCCTCTTCACAATGCTATATTCCGGTGTGCAGATTTCAAATATCGTAGAGGCCGTTTCTCTGCTGCTCACCACTCTGCCATCCTCCTGGACGTGCAGCAGTTACTTAATTTCTATATATATTGCCATCAAACAGCTGCATTGTATTGTAGAGACCAGTAGAATAAAGATGTATTAATAAAATGGGTTTTAGACTTTTAAATATATATACTGAGAAGAGATGGACCTCTCATCTATGTTAGAGAAATTACTTCCTAAAAGTGAGCAGTGGGAAACAAAATAGAAGAACCAGTCCTCAGAATGGCAGTTAGAGGGGAAAGAATGTGCAAGGCTCGCAGGGAAAATTTCAGGAGAAAAAAGATGAAATGAACCCCTGAGCCCTTGCTTGGCTGGGGAGGACAAACACTGAGAAGTAGGACTGTGGGTGCCACTTGCCTCTTTGGAACAGACCTTGTTGGTGACTCTGCTGGTGCCGGGGTTTCATGGGCCTTCCCTCCAGGGGAAGGTGAGGCAGTTTGGGTCTGCAGGGGCCACGTGGCTGAGCCTGTGAAGAGATGATGCAGAGGACTCACCAGTGCCAGCCTTGATCCCATGGCACTGTCTTTCTGCGGAAAATTATTAGAAAGGTATCCAGGCAGCAGTGGATACCTTTCCACTGCTGGTTTGGGGGTTGGGGTCTTTCTCGGGCGCCTGCCGCTTAGCTGATGAAGGCTCTAGATGAGATGCACGAGTCTGTTGCAGGCTCCTTCAGGTGCACAGCACATGCAGAGAACATGGTCTCTGCTTGCTGTAGTCTATAACCCAGTGTGCATCTGTGACCGCCGTGGAGCCCGTTATGTACCATTTCACTGCTCCACAGAGAAATAACACTTCCCTTTGTGTTTTTTCCCTAGAACCATGGCTGATAAAATCCAGGAATCCAGTGGCATTGATTTCCCCTTTCCCTTCCCACCCTACTCCATCCAGAAGGACTTCATGGCAAAGCTGTATCATGTGTTGGAGGCTGGCAAGATCGGGATATTTGAGAGTCCCACTGGCACGGTGAGTGTTTGACATGGGACGATGGCTGAGAACATGAAGCCTTCCACTTCTGCCCTCTGCAGAGATTCTTGTGGCTGGAAGTTGGGCACCATGGTCATTCAGATTGCCTCTGAGCTCCTGTGTCTCAGTTGGTAACCTCGGAGGCCCTTAGGCTTTGGGATCCTTGCTCTGCTGACTCAGGTCAAAGTCTCTGTCTCTCTATCTGTTCTTGAGCTGGTTATTTGTTCTTCTGCTTTTTTGTTTTTGTGAGTATGAATCACTTGACTTTTGTCCAGTATTAAGAGATTTGGCTGGAAACATGGAAGAGCAGCGTTGATCTTGCCTCGCTTACCCTGTTGGCCTTGTGCCTCCCTTTGTGGATTTCCATCCTTGTCCTCTGTTTCCCTCACATGTCCCCTCTCCCCAGCCCTTATGTGTTTATCCTCGGTTCTGTGGCCTCTCTTCTCGTGTGTCCATTCCTGTGGAAATCTGCCCCCTTTATGTTCTGGTGCCTTCTAAATCACACCTCCAAGGAGATGCCATACCCTCTCATAACCTGAGTGGATTTTCTTTACCCTCCTGCTTCTAATGCACAGCCCAAGATGCCTGGTTAACCTCTGAGTCACTAGTGAAACCTTCTGTGATTGCAACACCTAGTGGTGGCATCTTCACTTGGTGCCTGCACTGCCCTGCATGGCACTGCAGCTCTGGGAGTGTCACTATCTAGATTTCACCACAGTGTGTGCCGTCCCTCCAAGTGCACGTTACTCTTTCCCCTGGGCACTTTCTAGGTGCCCATGCCTAGTCCCAAACGTAATTCCCCTGCACCCAGGAGATGTCAGGAAAATGAATGAATTTCCTTTCCTGGTTGTGAGAATTACAGCGAGGTGTGTGGGGCTGAGATGCCATCAGTCATCGGGTGCTCTGGGAGTGTTCGGTGAAGTCTGTTTCGTGTCTGTAATTTTGGAATTTTGTGCGCAGTTTTGTTTCATTTTTGGTTTGTTTACTTTTGGTTTTGGTACTAGAGATTGAAACCTGGGCCTTCTCCCTGCCAGGCAAGGACCATACTGTGGAGTGACACCCTCAGATCACTGCAATGCATTTATTTATACACGCGGCAGGTTGGTGTCACGTGACACTCTGCCTACACATGACACCTGTTTGCTTGGGTTAACTTGGGCTCTCCGCGTCCCCAGAGCTGGAGCAGCTTGTTCACATGGCTCACCTTGGGTGATTTTCATTCTCAGGACCAGCTTTACTCCAGCCCCACAGGTGGTATTGACCTCCAGCTTCAGCTGCTCCCCACACTTGCCCACCTGGCCCAACTGCTGGCTGCTGATGTCCCAGGTCACCCAGAGCAGCAGCCCAGGTTCTGTTGATTGTGCTGCCCAGGACATTGCCATCCAGTGTCTCTCAGAAGCTGAGTGAAATGGTGCACTCAGCAGCAGTGTGCTGTGGCACAGGGCCTTTCAAGTTCTAAGGCATGCCCATAGCTTCCACATCTCTGGATGATGATAATTTTATTAGTACTGTATACATCTCCAGCTGCTCACTTACTGTGTACCAGGTATTCTTTGGATCCTGCTACAGCCATTTGCCTTTCTGTCTTAACGAATTTCAGTGCCTACATCTCTGTGAAGAAGGGATGCTCCTCACCCACTTTTTGCATACATGTATGGCAGCAAGCATTACGAGGTGACCACAGAGCCCCAGAGCTGGGAAGCAGAGGAGCCAGGATGTAACCGCGGCATGCTGCAGTAAAATAGTCTGTCCAGGTCCCTGACCATCCTTCCAAAGACACAGTCTTCACCTCTGTGGCTGCATCTGGCCCCCACCCCAACACACAGGTCCTTGGGAAACACTAGTCTCCCCTAGCCTCAGGTTCGCTAATTACATCTCTAGTGATCATGTGTCCCAGTAAGGTCACTCTCTGGGACAGGATAAGGACTTCCTCATCCCAGCTTTTGGGGGATTCATTTCAGCCTGCAGCGAAGGCCACAGGGAAAATTCTGATACTTAAATCACATCTCCAGAGCAGTTGACTGGCTCTGTGGGAAAAAACGGATAAAACCTTAACACTAGGACAGATGGTGTTGCGTCTGCACATTGGCTGCTTTAAAGTTGGCTAACATGGCTTGGCAACTCTGTGGATTTGCCCTGTACTTTCAGCTCTGAATTCCTTTCTATCCAGTTTAGTTTTTATTAGTTCTTATTTGCAGCACATAATGATTCCGCTCCCTTGGGGAGCTGGCACATGGACACAGCACATCTTAATTCCCTTTTCAGCCCCTTCTCCTCCCCTCCTTCTTTCCACCCTCCATCTCTTGGTCTTCTTCCCATTTGCAAAAGAGCTGCCTTACTGTTTCCTATTTTCTGTCTTTTGATTTGCTCTTTATTTATATTTTGGGTTTTGTATAAGAAACCACATGATAGATAAGCTTTTGTGTCTGATTTATTTTACTTAACCTTACGAGCTCAAGGTATGTCCATTTTCTACGAATGACTCAAGTTTACCCTTCTTTGTGGCAGAGTAGTACTCCCATGTCTGTAAATACCACATTCTCTTTATCCAGTCATCTGTGGACGGACATAAAGTTGTTTCCAAGATTTAGCTCCTATGAATATGCTGCTGTGAAGTGCACATGCATCACTGAAATGAGTAGACACTTCTCTGAAGAAGTAAAAGCAGCCAATAAACACATAAAAAATGTTCAGCATTACTGAACATTAGAGGAATACCAAATAGAACAATGCTGAGATTTCGTCTTTTTCCAGAAAAATTGGCTGTCAGGAAGAAGTCAAATAGTAGCAAATCCTGGTGAGGCTGGAGGGGAAAGGAATCCCTCTCCACTGGTGGTGGGAATGTACACTGGTACAGCCACTGCGGAAGTCAGTGTGGAGATCCCTCAAAGCCCTAAAAGTAGAAATTCCATTTGACCTAGCTATTCCCCTTCTGGGTGTCTTCCCCAGAAAGTTAAGGATGTCGTATTACAGGGACACATTCCTTAATTCTTTTGGCAGAGGTGCTAGTCTAGTTTCTTGACGCTGGTTGTTACCATGCAGAATTTGTATGTACCCCACAAAACCACCGTAAGTTGCTTTCGGAGTGCTGAGCATCATGATTAAAGCAGTTCTTTCCTGCTGCTGGGCCCCATGTCTGTTTCTTTCCTTTTTCGTGTTTGTCCTGGCTGTTGTATTGGCCGCTCCTTTCCTTTCCTTTCCTTGGTTGACTCAAGGAGCCCTTTAATTTGTAAAGCCAGAGCTTTGAAGCCTTTACAAAAGTGAGAAAAGTCCTCTAAATTTTAGCAACTTGGAAGGCTGGGCTGGCTGGGTGGAAGGGGCCAGTCCAGCCTGGCAAAATATCAAGACTCTGTTTCAAAATTAAAAGCAGACAAATGAAAAGGTCCAGTTTACCACTCAGTGGTGTAGCGCTCGCCTGGAAGGAAGAAGGCGAGTTCACGTAGGGAGCACCTAGGGAGCACCGCCATCCAAAAGGAGAGAAGCTTGGGAGAAATGCTCAGCAACATGCCCTCTTTTCCTCAGGGAAAGTCCCTGAGTCTCATCTGCGGGGCTCTGACCTGGCTCCGTGACTTTGAACAGAAGAAACAGCAGGAAGAGGCGCGCTGCCTCCTGGCTCCTGGAACCCAGCCCCTGCCAGAGGGCCAGGACTTGCTTCCTGCAGCCCCATCTTCCTGCCCGGCACCCCCCACTGCCCTGATGCCTGGAGGAGAGCCGGACTGGGTCACCCAGTTTGTGCAGAGGAAGGAGGAGAGGGAGCTGGCAGAGCGAGTGAAGGCGAGTCTGGGCAGGATCCTGGGGTTGGTGCAGTGGCCTCTGTCCTCCCCAGTCACCTTGCACCCTGCACTGGTGGGTTCTCCTTGGCACTGGCCCGAGGCAGCAGAAGGAGGGGCTGCTGCAGCCCCCATGCTATGGAGGCTAGTAGGGGTCCCCGCAGGAGTCTCCTCAAGGCTGTGTTCCCCAGGAGGAGCAGAGCAGAAGGAGGAAGCGAGAGGAGCGGCTGCAGCAAACCCGCCACAGTGCACAGTTCAAGCGCGCAGCCCAGCGCCAGGTGGGTGCCCTCCTGTCCTGCCCCTGCCACACTGCTGGAGACCCCATCGGGCTGTCAGGCCTCAGGCTGCTCTCTGTATCCTCACCAACTGCGTCCTCCTCATGCAGAGCTGGGCAACTTAGTGGCAAAGAACGGAGTCCAGGACTGGGTTCCTCCCAGACGGGCAGCAAGGCTGTGTCCATGGTCCATGGGGGGATGTCCTTGGTGACAGCCAGGTTGAGGCTGAGGCCATCAGATTCCCGGGCCCCAGTTTCAAGGCTTCTTCTCTCCATGCTGCTCCACAGAGTCGGGAAGAGGAGGAGACCAAGGCGCTCCTCCGTCTCAGTAGGGAGCTGCTGGCCGAGGGGTCAGGTGCAGAGCTGCTGGAGCCTGAGGAAGAAGAGCTGGTGCTGGCGGAGTATACAAGTGACGAGGAGAGGACGGCAGCCATTGGGTGAGATGGCAGCTGTTCTATCCCCTGTGTCCCCACTCGTGGCCAGGAGTGGACTCCCAAAGGCAGCTCTTCCCTCCTGGGGTTCCCTGCCAGGCCTCTCCCTACTCCCCTGCTCCCATACCCCCTCCTCCTGCAGGTCCATGACCAGGGCAGTTTGCCCCAGCCCTGTTCACCTTTGGTCCCACTGTAACTCCTGTAGCACTAGGCGTGTCATCTGTCCTGTGACTTTTGAGTACGGGCCCCTGGGTTGTGACTCGAGCTTAGGGACCTGAGCCCCTTCCCCTTCCTCCCCACACTCCTGGGCTACACAGACCTGAGTGGCAGGCAGGCGGGGTTGGAGCTTGCAGGGGTAGGCAGCATCCCCGTGGTTGTAGGGTGCCTCGCTGCAGGATGAAGTCTGCTGGCTCTCAGCCCTGATCCCCCAGCAGCTCAGTAAGTGTCCAGGAGCAGAGCTGTCCCTCGCCTAGCTGAGTTGCTGAGGGGAGACTGTGGCGTATTCTGTCCCTTAGGGTGGACGAGGACGAGGACGAGGAGGACCTGGAAGAGGAGCATGTCACAAAGGTGGGATGCGTGGCCCGGTGCCTTCTATGTGGGGCTGACCCTGGCGTGCACCACTTTTCTCTCTTGCTGTCCTCTATCTGAAGTCCCAGAGGAGAGGGAGCATCTGCCTTGGCCTCTGCCTCATACTTAGAGTGATGCAGGGGATTGCCCTCCCACACTGTCCCCAGGAGGTGAGGGTAGGGACACGGCTATCCCAAGCCCCCGAGCCCTATGCTCCAGCAGGGTCAGAGGCGAGACCTGGCTGGTGTCCCCTGACTGGCCTTCCTTGGTGCCATCTGATGTGAATGACACTGCCTCCTTAGGGACCTGCATTTGCAGTCACTGTACCTGTTCCTGCAGGCTCCAGGCCTCGATGCTCTGAGAGCACCTGGGACCATTCTGTTCCCTCTTTGACCTCCCCTTTGCTCTGGGCAGATTTACTACTGCAGCCGAACACATTCCCAGCTGGCCCAGTTTGTGCAGGAAGTTCAGAAGAGCCCCTTTGGCAAGGACACCAGGCTGGTGACCCTGGGCTCCCGGCAGGTGAGCAGTGTCAGGCGTCCCGGCCCCGCTGCCCTCCTGCCCCACCCCACACCTGTCTCCCGGTCCAGAGTCCCAGATTGGACAGACAGTGGGGCCGAGGTGGCTAAGCTGTAGGCACGGCCTGCACCCTGCCTGCTACTCCTAGGAAGGAGGAAGAGTGGTGGCTCCATGTCCCTCACCACCCATTTCTTCACCTCGTCCTCTCGGCCTTAGAACCTTTGTGTGAACGAAGATGTGAGAAGCCTGGGTGCTGTGCAGCTGATCAATGACCGCTGCATGGAAATGCAGAGAAGCCCGCATGGTAGGAGCTGGGACCAGTGAGGCCATGCCACGCTGGGGCAGGGAGCAGAGGGAAGGCTCGGGAAGGGCCTGGGCCTAGACCAGGGGCCCGGGAGCCCAAGTCCAGACCGTGGGGTCCTTCAGGCAAAGCCAGCCTGGCCCTCGCCTGAGAAGGGAAGACACCTGGTCCCTGGCCTGGAGGTGGATTTACATGCAGTTTACGGAGAACAGAAAGTAGCCTCAGCTGATGCATCTGATGTGTTAGCAGATGACACCGCCGAGGCAGAACTTGGAGGGTCCTTTAGACCCCCCAGGGGAAAGCAGGGGTTCCTCCATGTCCCCGAGCCTCTCCTGGGCACTGAGACATGTGTGGTCCTTCCTGTCTTTGCTCCTGGGCCTGTGCCATCCACAGAGAATAAGAACAGAGCTGAGGCAGAAAAGCCGAAGAGAAGACGGCAGGAGGGCCGGACCGCCTGCCCCTTCTACAACCGAGAGCAGACACAGCTGCTCCGGGATGAGATCCTGGTGGCAGCGAGGGACATGGAGCAGCTGGTGGCCCTCGGGAGGGAGGCCCGGGCCTGCCCCTATTACGGAAGTCGTCTCGCTGTCCCTGTGGCCCAGGTTAGCACATGGTCCTGCAGGGGCCCCTGCCCTGTTGTCAGCCATGCTGGCCCATTCTAATGGGTCCATGGGCAGGAGGCCACTCATCAGCATGGGACTCTGCACTGGGTGGTTGCATACAGAGAAACTGAGGCACGCTCTTCCACCCTGCCGTAGTCTCCTGCCTGACCCTGACCTTGCATGGGTGAGGTGAGTGTAAAGAGTGCAGGACCTGCTGATGGACACATTGGAGGAGGCCAGGCCGTCAGGGTCCTGAAGTCAGCTCTGCCCTCGTGGTGTCCCACTGAGGTGACTGCGTGCTGCATGTGACATTCAGTGACTGCCCTGGGTGGTCACTGTGTGAGCTGTGGTGCTCACGTATGAACCAGGACCTTGCTCTTCCCAGGTTCTGAGTATTTCTCATTGTTCATCACTGTTTTCATTGTTCATCACTCGAGACTGAACCCAGGCCTTTGCACTGAGCTGCATTTCCCCATCCTCTTTTTTTTGCTCGAATTTTTCTAAATTTTGAGACAGGGTCTCATCACACTGTTAAGATACACAGGCTGAGCCAGAATTTGCCATCCTGTCTCAGCCTCCGAAGGGATGGGATGACACATGCACCACCACACCTCCTTGGAAAATCTTTATAACAAAATTTACCTAAAATTGACAGAGTGCTTTAGTTTTGCTTACCGCCCTCCACTCCTCTGCCCTCAGCTGAGGCAGAGTTTGTCGAGCTGCAGATAAGGAAACTGAGTCTCCGAGGTTACACAGCTGCACAGCTGAGAGGTAGCAGCCCTAGCACTGGAGGTCATTGTTGGTTCCTGGCCTCAGAGCCACCTGAGGGCTTAGGGGAGGTCAGCAGCAGGGATTCGCCAGTTCCTTCCCATCCTCAGTCCACTGCAAGCCTGCTATGTCCACACTTCTGAGATGGGCTGCGGCTGCAGTCACAGGTCTACGTGGTCACTTTCTGTCCGAATTTCTCTACACATGGATGGTCTGGGTAGGAAACAACACAGCTCCATCAGGACCGAGATGGGCGGGTGGGTTCCCCACAGGACCAGCCCAGCCACCACCCCAGCAGCCCGCTCTGCCCTCCAGCTGGTGGTGCTGCCCTACCCAATGCTGTTGCATGCAGCCACTCGACAGGCTGCGGGCATCCGGCTGCAGGGCCAGGTCGTCATCATCGACGAGGCGCACAACTTGATCGACACCATCACAGACATACACAGCACGGAGGTCAGCGGGTCCCAGGTGGGTTGACAAGCTTGGGGCTGTGGACTGAGGGCCCCAGTGCTTGATTCTTCCGGAGACAGCGCTTGGTAGAGCTGCACAGTCCCACTGTCCAGCTAGGATGGGCCAGAGAGCAGCGGGAGTCTTGGGTTGCTGGGTCTTGTTATTCTTTGCGTTGCTTAGGGGGATTTAATTGGGGTGCACTCGGGATCCCCAGGAGTTTCTCTCTGTAATCTGTCGCATCCGTGTGCTGCCTCTATCCTCCATACTGACCCCCTTCTGGGTGGAAGGGCCAGATCCTGGCTGACTCTGGGAACCTGGGCACTCAGGCAAGGCTAGCACCTGAGATCACACAGTACAGCACCCAAGGTCACAGTGCAGGGATGGTGAGCCGGGAGGGGACTTCTGGCTTCACACCAGCGGAGCAGGGTCCCAGGTACTTTAGGCGGGGCATGACAGTTACCATGGGAAACACCAGGTTTTTCCTTATCCAGGGAAAACCAGCAGGGAGCTTCCTTCCCTGAGGGTTTCAGCCTCTCACGTTGTCCAGCCTGGAAGCAGCTGCACACAGAGCAGAGCTTCCTGTGCTCTCAGCTCCGTCAGTCTCAGGGCCACAGACCACACACCATGGGTTCCTGGCTCCCGCTCCCCATGCCCATGACAGCTCCTGTGAGTCCTGAGCTGGCGTTTTCTGCATATGGTGTCAGTTCTCCCTGGCCCAGCTCTCAGCCGCTTGTCCAGAGCCTGGTCTGACCTCAGCCTGTGCTCCGTGCTCCATCCCCAGCTCTGCCAGGCCCACTCCCAGTTGCTGCAGTACATGGAGCGGTACAGGTGGGACATGGCCCCAGGGTGGGAGGGAAGGTCTTGGTCGTGTTGGCCTGCAGAGGGTGTGCGCGGTCAACTTCCCGTCCTGGTCCTGTGTCCACAGTGGGTGCCCCACTGGGCCCTGCCTGCTTGGGACAGGGCTTCTGGCTCTTGGGGGCCAGCCTGCCTTCCTGGGGTGGTGATAATTTGTGACCTGGCCAGGTAGCAGGGAGCTGTAGGGAGCCCCACTCAAGGCCTGCGGGTTCCTCCACAGGAAGCGTCTGAAGGCCAAGAATCTGATGTACATCAAGCAGATCCTGTATTTGCTGGAGCAGTTTGTGGCTGTGCTGGGAGGTAGGCAGGCACTGCCCCAGTCCCCACCTTTTCCTTGGCTGCCAGCAAGGACCCCAAAATCTCCCACAGGTGTTAGCTGTGTCTCCATCATTGATCTTCCAGATTCTCATTCCTTCTGCCGAGTCCAGCAGTCAAACCTCACAGCCTAGTGCATTTGCCCACATTCTGTGCTCTTTCGTATGTTTCTTTTTGGTACCAGGAATCAAACTCAGGACCTTGCACTTGCCAGGCAGGCGCTGGGCCCTGGTGCCTCTGTGCCCTTCCCCCCACCACACTCTTCACCACACTTGATGCAGTGCGTGGCATTCTGTGAAGGGGTTGTAGTCTGGCAGCATATGCAATGCCCAGCACAGCCACAGCTTCATTTGTTCCATGATGGGAGCATCCTGTCCATTTGAACCCAATTCACAGATGAGTCACTGAGTGGAGACCAGGTGCTTCTTATGTAACCCTGGTATGGACCCCTAGCCTATCTGTGTTTGTGCCCGCAAAGGTGGGGAGCCAGCGGGGATCTGCAGAAAGATCTTAACCCAATGGAGCTCCCTGTTTCCTCTACTTTGACCACTGCAACCCCACACCCCGGCAGCCATCCGCTCCTTGCGCTACACATGGTGGGGGCCGTCTGCCCTGCTCAGGAGGAGGCCCGAAAAGAAAGAATCAGGTTCCATGTGCATCGGGCCGTGAGGCAGCCGGAACCTCTGCCCTCTCAGCGGCTTCTCTGCCTGCCATACACGACCAAAAGCAAAGCAGCCGCTGGAGCTTGCTGCGATGGGAAGGCTTAGTCCTGTGAGCAGTGTGGAGATGAGAAGGCAGAAGTGGGGGGTGGGCAGCTCCACTCTGACCTGTTTATGTCTCTCTCAGGGAATATCAAGCAGAACCCCAACACACAGAGCCTCTCACAGACAGGTGAGGAGTTGCTTGGCAACCTGGGTGATCTGAGCTTCTCTGTCCCTGTGACACCGGAAGCCGTGCTCCAGTGCAGGCCCCCAAGCCCTTCTCTATCTGCTCTCAGGGACTGAGCTGAAGACCATCAATGACTTCCTCTTTCAGAGCCAGGTGGACAACATCAACCTGTTCAAGGTAGAGCTGTCGCCTGTCAATCTGGGCCCATCATGCGTCCTTCTTGGTGCCAGCTGTGGGCGCTGCTGCTTTCAGATCACAGAAGGAATAAAAAGCAGAGACCCCGTCACGAGGCAGTCTAAGGACCTGAAACACAAATGCAGGAAATTATTGGCCCCTTAAAACACTGTATACCTAGGAACTAAGTGACCTTCACTCTGGGGTTGGGCTTTCTTGGACCTCGGGAGGCACAGTGGAGACTGCAGGTCCCCCCAACTCCTCTTCCATCTCACCCCAGAGCCTCAGCTTCAGTCACAGCCTCTGACATTTGCTTGCCCTCACCCTGCATATCCGGATCCTGTGCATGGTGGATAGCCACTGTCACTGGAACCACCACCCAGTGACTCTACAGCTTTAGCCAGCCCTGTGGACAGAGCACATATTGTGTCCTGGGCAGTGACAAGTGGGGGCCACACAACAGCACCCTGAGATAGGAGCAGAACAGTCCCCACAGCCAGTGGCTGGGCCGCACAGTGTCCATACCAACTAACCTTTGCTTCCATAATAGCAGGGCAGCACCTGCCTTTTGCCTTTGCTTATAATGTTTTTTGTTGTTGTTTTTGTTTTTTTAATCTGATTCTAAGCTCCTCACGGTCCAGCTCAGCTGCCATCACTAGGAAGGAAAGCAGGGGACAGACCATCTAGGGAGCAATCAGAGCCATGGGACAGTTCTGAGGAGGCCACTGGGGTGGTGCTGTGCTGGTGGGCAGAGATGGAGGAGGAAGAGGGGCAGGGTGGGCGTGGAGCTGAGCTCCAAGCTTGTTTTGTTTTGCTTTGCTTTGTTTGGAGACAAGGTCTCATTGTGCAGTTCAGGCTGGCCTTGAGCTCACTTTGTAGCCCAGGCTGGTCTCGAACTTGCAGCAGTCCTCCTACCTCAGCCTCTGGAGTGCTGGAATTACAGGTGTGTACCACCATACCTGGCAGGCTGCTTTCTAAAGTGCACATTGCAGCCACCGCCTCCTCACGGTCATCTCTGTCTCACGTTTGCAGGTGCAGAGGTACTTCGAGAAGAGCAAAGTCAGCAGGAAGGTATGGCCCCACCCTGGCCCTCACTGCCTGGTGTCCTGCCTCCGGGGTCCCCACTCCTCAGGCTGGGGGAGGGGTATGGGCTGCAGCCCTGTGGAGTCCCTGTGTTACACCACCACCCTCTCTCCTCCTCCAGCTCTGTGGCTTCACGGAACGCTATGGTGCCATCCTCCCACCATCCCGGGAGCAGTCCAGACTGGCAGGGCTTCAGCAATTCCTGCAGAGCCTGCAGCCAGGGGTGACCGAGAGTGAGTCTCAGGGCAGGAAGACGAGCTGGTCTGCAGGCGTGGGTAGCACTGGACCTGACCTCACTCGGGTCCCGGCCTCTGTCCTCCCTCCGCCCATGCAGCTCCTGCCGCCGCCCCCCCAGAGGAGGCTGAGGTTGAGGCCATGCGCGCTGCTTCCCCACTGATGCACATCGAAGGCTTCCTCACAGCCCTCACCACTGCCAACCAGGATGGCAGAGTCATCCTGAGCCGCCAAGGTACCGAGCAGCCTGGCTGGGCTGCTTCCTGAGAGGGCCGGGCTGCAGCAGGGAGCTGCACCAGGGCCTCTGGGCACATCCTAGCCTTACCCAGCTTAGCAATCGCCAGGACGGGCAGCAGCCCTAAGAGCAAGAAGTCATCTTCCGGCTGTGTAAGCTGGATTGATTTTTCCCTTTGCACTTGGCTATGCTTTGCCTCTGTGTGTGTGCGCGTGTGTGACGGCTGTGCTGTCTGCCTTGGCACTTGTCCTGGAGGGAAAGCAAGGCTGGACTCCCTGTTCCGTGCCAGCCCATGTGTGTCCTGCAAGGCACCCAGGAGCCCTGTGCTCAGGCTGGACCTGCCCCTCTGTCTATCCCCCTTTCAGGCAGCCTCAGCCAGAGCAGCCTCAAATTCTTGCTCCTGAATCCAGCCGTGCAGTTTGCCCAGGTGGTAAAAGAATGCCGGGCAATGGTCATTGCAGGGGGCACCATGCAGCCGGTAAGGACCCCAGCCCCCATCTCCTGTGTCCCTGTGCTGGGATGGCTCAGGGGAAGGAAGCAGCCTCAGTCAGGTGTCCTCCCTGTCCCGCTGGTCCCCAACCCAAAAGAGGTGATGCGCAGGCCCAGCAGTGTCCCCTGGGTGGCACTACTAAGGCCTCACAAAGCCTTTGTGTGTCTCAGATCCTTGGTGCCTCCCTGAGGTCCCTTCCTGCCCCACCAGGGAGGTGCCCACCTTCTGAGGCTGGTGTAATGTAGGTGTTTTGGGTTTCACCATAGAAAGCAGAGAGGAGCAGTGGGGGAGAAGCAGGTCCTCATTTCACACTCAGAGATGAACCATAGCGTGCAGCACAGCAGTGCCTTTCTGGGGTTAAGTTTCACAGATGTGTATGCATCTTAAAAACAACAGAATCACCTGTATGTGCCATTACGGTTCGCTTTTGCACTCAGAAGCTAGTAGCACATAGATCTTTCCTGGTCAGCGGGGATACATTTACTCCTCTGTCTCAGTTACTTTTTACTTCTAGCTGAGACACAATTCCCAGAGTTAAAAAGCGGAGAGGTTTCCTTGGCTCACAATTTGTAGAGGTTTCGGCCCGTAATTGGCTGGGTCCTAGGCAGAGTAGCAAGCCAGAAGAGAAGCCGTTCACAGTAAGCAAAAGACAGCAGAAACAATCGGGGCAGGGAGAAGACAGCCTCTTTCTGTGCCTTGTGCTGTATCCTGGCTGCTGGGATTAGGATGGTGCCGAGCCAATCAATGGACGACTGACTTTGTGATCACCCACCCTCAGTTCAAGCATTGCACGGTGGATCAGTCACACACTCTAGATCCAGCCACCTTTGGGAGAACAACCAGACACAAGTCTGGGCTCCCCCCCTCCTGTCTTCCAATCCCATGGATTCAGTGCATTTCTTGGACCACTCTGGCATTTCTCTGCTCTGAACAGTACTTCTGTGGGAAGTGCAGCCAGGTCTCTGCCCAGGAGTTCTGTCCGCAGCCACACATCTGGCAGACACATGCTGTCCTGGGCTGCTGGGGTCCTGAGCCCTCCCCAGCCTCTGTGCCTGCTGCAGCCACCGTCCTGCTCTATTTATTTTTTATTGCCCAGATTTCTAGATTTTTATTCAATCTTTGCCTTAGAGTTCTCTTTGAGGATCACATGGTCTCTGAATCAGCATAGGGAGCCCTTGCCCACATACTCTGGTCCTGTGGACCAGACCCCGGGCCTGGCTGCCTCATTTCCACACAGGGAAGAGAGATGCATCAGTGGAGGGCAGCACCTGGCACTTGGTGCCAGGGTGACCCAGCTGCTCCCAGTTGTCACAGTGCCTAGGCTGTGTCTTGGGGACACCGAGGAGATGCAGTTTGAAAAGCAACAGTGTGTATCGATATTTTCAAATCAAAATAAAAACTTAACTTCCTGGACCTTACATTTAGATCCCTTGGGGCAGGCAGAGTACGATGAATGTGTGTTCAGTGAAGATGACAGCCATAAAAATCCCGGGTATTTGGTTGCTGAATGAACGTGTAGTTTCTTGGTAGCGTAACGTAACTATTTAATCTCTCAGTATCCTTGAACAGCCTGAGAATCACATCCCTGCCCCAATAGGAAACCTGCCCAGGGAAGGGGCGCTGCTGTGCCTGCCAGCTCTGCCTGGCAGGGTGCATTGCTGTCTGAAATCAGGTGTTTCTCCCAGTGCTTCTCTGGGTAGTGGAACCAGTCACTAGGAACTTTTTGGTTTCAGTGTAGTTAGAGTTTGCTTTTTTTCCTTTTTGACCTAATTTTTGTTTTTAAAACATGTAACCACTCATGCAGTTCAAAAGTTAAAACTCTATTAAAAATACAGCTGGGGACTCTCACTCTGTCCCCCAGCCTACTCGTCCCTGCCCCGTGGGGAATCCTTTTCCTCAGCTGAGGCTGCAGCTTTCTGCTGGTTTTGCTGGGTGGCGCTGCCTAGTGTTTGGTTTGAGAGTTTGTTTTGTTTTGTTTTGTTTTGTTTTGTTTTGTTTTGTTTTGTTTTGTTTCTAAAATAAACACCTGCCTGCTCTTTCCTGTGTCCCGGAGATAGCCTTGTGGTTTCTGGAGTGCGCTGGTGGTGGTTGGCCAGTGGCACGGTGAGGGCGAGGTCTGTAAGCTGTAGGGGCCCCGGGTGCTGTGCCGGGTAGAGGTGGTGCTGCTCAGGCAGCAGGCAGCTTCCCTCCCTCCCCGGGTCCATCTCACTGTGCAGACGGCACCCTGAGGAAGAAAAGCTGCCTGCCTAAGCTGCATCTGTCAGCTGTGCGAAGCTTAGACTCCTAGGTAACTGCTAGGTCTAGAAAAGTGAAACTGCTTGTCACTTGCTAACAGTGACATTTCCCTCCCTGGGGTCATGACCACTGTGTATCCCCCTCACCCAGGCAGTGTCTGTGAGCTCAGTTCCTCACCAGTGGTTCAGCTTTAGGGACAGGTGGGAGCTGTATGGATCTAAAGACTTTCCTGTGATGATTTCGACCCAAAGCCAGGCTTGAAACCCCCTGTGCCAAATCGGCCACCTTTTTGTGTTCCTTCAGTCCTCTGAGGAGGCCGCCAGCAGGTCATTAATGGTTGTTTTCTTGTTGATAATTCTGCATCAGCCTTTCTGGGCTTATTTCCTATGCAGTGTCCCAGTGGCCACCCAGCCCAGACTTCTCCCTCTGTTCTCCCTGCCGAGCCTCTGTGCCCTCCATACCAAGCCTGAGGTCCTTTTCCCTAGCCCTCAGGATATCACACACCTCAAACCCTGCCTGCAGGTGTCTGACTTCCGGGAGCAGCTGCTGGCCTGGGCTGGGACGCAATCCGAGCGCGTGGTGGAGTTTTCCTGTGGTGAGCAGACCCTATGCCGTGACCTCTGCTCACTAGTTTTTGCCACTGGCCAGGCCCTGGGTGGGGACACCACAGGGCGGCTTGTCACCTGCTCCCTTCCTGCTTTCATGCTCTGTGACCTGCCATCTGCATCGCCCAGGGACCCTCAGTGAGGTCTAAAGACCCCTTCCTATGTGGAGATGGGTGGGGAACAACCTCCCTGGACCCCTCCTGCCTGTGGAGCAGTTTCCAACCCCTCCCTTTCTCACTAGGTCACGTTATCCCACCAGACAACATCCTGCCCCTGGTCCTCTGCAGTGGGCCCACCGGCCAGCAGCTGGAGTTCACCTTCCAGCAGAGAGAGCTGCCTGCAATGGTGGGTGCCATGCTCAGTGCCCCTAGCCCTCATGCTGCGGCACATCGCTCTGGGTCACCTGGCCGGTCCTGGCATTTGGAAAATCAGTATGAGGGCTCCCTTTCCAGCTGGGCTCCTAATAAGTGGAGTCTCTAGATATTTGTCATGAAGGTGTGGGCTACCCCTACCCCTGGACCTTTAAGTGAGTTTCCTTCAGCCCTCCAGGAGCCTCTTGAGGACCAGAGGGTGAGGGGCTGCCCACTGCTCTGGTTCCCTTAGTAATGTCAGCACCACGCCAGGCGGGCACAGGGCTAGGGACACATCTCCACTGCTGCCCAGGGACAGGCACCTCTTTTGTCCTCGATGCTGGCGGTCAAGGATGCTGGGATCTGGGGGACTTGGTGGCCTGACAGTGTCCTCTCTCAGGTGCTGGCACTGGGCCCTGGGTCACAAAGACAGGTGTGTTTGGCAAGAGGCTGGCACATGTGCCTTCCTGTGCCACTCACGGGGCCAGGTGGCTGTCATGCTCCTGGGCCCACTCATGCCCTGGGTTGAGCTCCGCCCTCGGCCTGGAGCCCAGCTGTGGTGTCGTGGGCACTGCTCCTCAGGGCCTCTCTGCCTCCTAGATGGAGGAGACAGGACGCATTCTCTGCAACCTGTGCAACGTGGTCCCTGGAGGGCTGGTCTGCTTCTTCCCTTCCTACGAGTACCAGCGCCAGGTCCTTGCCCACTGGGACAAGAGTGGTCTGCTGGCCCGCCTGACTGTCAGGAAAAAGGTGAGCGACCCCTTACCCAGCAGGTGTTTCCAGGGTGGCAGAACCGGGGGGGTCCCTGAACCCAATGGTGCTGCTTGTCCCGGTCCCTCGCCTGCACCCCTTCCAGGGTCTCTGCATCCTGGCCCAAGGGATCCCCAAAGCTGGGTGCTGTGAGGGTGGCCTGTCCCTAGAGTGCAGGCCAAGCCCTTGAGGCGATGTGAGCACCCACGTTCCTCAGCCTTTCCCTGGAAGTCTGTCTCTCCCTGCAGCTCTTCCAGGAGCCCAAGAGAGCCAGCCAAGTGGAGCAGGTCCTGTCCGCATATTCCAAATGCATTAAGGTGAGGGGGGCAGGCCAGGCACGGGGCCATGCAGGCCTGGTGTTTTTCTGGCCCCAGCCTGGTGCTCTGCATGGGGTCTTTCCACAGAGGTGTGGACAGGCAGGAGGCCCAGTGACCGGGGCCCTGCTCCTCTCTGTGGTGGGAGGGAAGATGAGTGAAGGGATCAACTTCTCGGACGACCTGGGCCGGTAGGTGCACCCCTCTTCCCTCCTGGGTCCCTGCGCCTGCCTGGATCTCACACTTCAGGGTCTGTACGCAGGCAGGATGCTCAGGATGTTGAGGGGGTGGCAGGGAGTGGTGGGCTGACTGTGGAACAGTAAGCCAGGCTGAGGCCTTGGAGACCCCATTCATTGGTCCAGGTTGGATCCAATGGGCAGAGGGTAGGCTGAGATGCAGGCGTCACCTCCATGTTCCCCAGGTGTGTGGTAATGGTGGGCATGCCCTACCCTAACATCCGGTCTCCTGAGCTGCAGGAGAAGATGGCCTACTTGGATCAGCGCCTTGTGAGTCTGCTGGCTTCCAGAGGGTCAGAGGGCTGGGGATGGAGAGTGGGGTGACCCCTCGGGCTGGGATGCCAGGCTTTGCACTGTGATTGCTGTGTGAATGCTGCCTGGCTCATCAGCATCGATGCATGCATGTACTCTTACCCTCTCGGTGTCTCCACGGGGTCCCATCACACCTTCTGGGTCAGGAGGGTCATCCCCAGGGACTGGAGGGTCATCAGGCAGGTGATAGACACTTGTGTCTCCTTTACCATTGCAGCCCAGGAGCCCAGGGCAGGTGCCCCCGGGGAAGGCACTGCTGGAGAACCTGTGCATGAAGGCTGTTAACCAGTCCATTGGTGAGCTGCGGCTGCCCTGGCCCTGGGATGAACAGCCAGGGCTGGATGGGTGTTGGGGAGGGGTGACAGGAGGAGAGACCTTCCTTACAGGAGGGGACCTGGGATGTGTGCTGTAGGGAGGGCAGATGTCACTCAGAGCCCTGCCTCTGGCCCCAGGCAGGGCCATCCGCCACCAGAGGGACTTTGCCAGCATCGTGCTCCTGGACCAGCGATACACTAGGCCCCCAGTGCTGGCAAAGCTGCCGGCCTGGATCCGAGACCGCGTGGAGGTCAAAGCCACTTTTGGTGCTGCGTTCGCTGCACTGCGGAAGGTCAGGCCGGCCCTCTCCTTCCCTGGCTCCCAGCGCCCAGCCCGAGAGTTGGCTGCTCACAGCCTTTCCCTGTGCCTGCAGTTTCACCGGGAGAAGGCGGGGCCCTCCTGATGGCAGCCTCATCCCTGCCTGCCCTGGTCCCTGCTGTGTGCAGCCTTTGGTGTCCCCACCAGCCCTCACGCTGAGCCAGAAGCTGCCGGATCAGGGTTGCACAGTGAAGCCAGCAGGAGCGGATGAAACAGTGGGTCCTGCCATAGTGTGGCCCAGCCCAGGGCAGCTTATGCTCTGCCTGGGGACGAAAGAAGTCCCCACTCCCCTAAGCACCCACCTTCCTATGTTGAGGTCCATCCTGCCCCTCCCTCCCCCAGCTCAGAAGGGCAGAAGACCCTGTGCCCTTCCCCTAGACACGCCATGGAAAGGTGCCTTCCCCTCCCCCGCAGCCACTCCTGCTCTTGGCTCCCCTCCTCTCACCCCAATCCAGAGAAAGGGGCCTTGGTCCCGAGCCTCTGAACCCACTTAGAGGGGGCAGGCCAGGCTCCAGGAGACCTCTGCACCCTGCCCAGCCGCCCTTCCTAATACATCACGCACTCCTGGCTTGTGCAGCTTCTCCTGCCCCGCTTTATTGGTTCCTGGCGCGTTTCCTCCCCTTAGAGAGGACAGCGCTGTGCCATGGGGAAGCCACAGGGCCCTGCACAGTACTGGGATGCTCGCAAGAACGGGCAAAGTTGGGCTGCAGGAGGTCAAGGGGTCCGAGCCCCTAGGACTCCCAGTCATCCTCGTCTTCCTCTCCCGGGGGCTGCTGTGGGGGTGGCAGCGGGGGGATGGAGTCCGACATGCGGGCAAAGGCTCCTTCTGCACCTTCACTGGCCCCTGGCCCAGGGCCTTTCCCAGAGATGCCTGAGAGGGAAGGGCTGGTGAGGGAGGGAGGCCGGGCCAGGTGCACCCCATTCCTGGATAAAGGGACAGGCGAAGCACCCCAGGTGCCCTCCTACCTTTGCGCCTCAGGACCAGCTTGTTAAAGAGATCTGACATCAGGTCCCCGCCCTGGCCCGTGGCTCTCACTGTGGGGGAAGCACAGGTGAAGAAGTGTAGGACAGGAGGGGACCCCATCAGGGCCACAGGCTCTGGGCTCACTCCCCTGTCCATGACAGCAGTGGCCCCCAGAGGTTTAGAGACTTAGGCCTGGGCTCGCCTGAGTCCTGTGAGAGCACTGAGACTCCTTGGAAGCGCAGGAGGTGGGGGAACCCTCTGACGCAGCCTGAGCTGGCAGGGCCAAGCACAAAGCCCCAAGCAGAAGCTCAGGACAAGGGTGTCGGGGCCAGCCAGGCCTCCAAGAGCACCCCGCCTGCAGAGGGACAGCCTTGGGGCCCTGACAGGCCTCCACCGGGTGTCCTGGCTGCAGGGGGAGTGGGGCCTCACCTTGCTCCTGCTCCTTCTGCTTCTTCTTCTCCAACTTGCGCTCCTTGACGCTGCGCAGCTTGGCCTTGCCGATGCCCCCAGCTTGGCGGATGGACTCCAGCAAGGTGGCCCGGCCGCTGGAGGGGTCCACCACCTCCTTAGGAGCCACCTGGACAGGTGCTGACAGGGCGGAGGTGTGAGGAGTGGCCTTCCAGGCCCATGCTGAGTCAGTGCCTGGTGTCAGACACCTGCGTCCCCCCATTTCCCACCCCGATTGGGTGCTGCCCTGCAGCAGTGGACCTGAGACTCACTAATCACCCACAAAACCTCCAGGGACCTGTGGGCCAGCAGAGACTTCTGTGCCCCTTCTGGAAGCTGCACGGGGGCTGGAAGGTACAATATTAAAACCCAAGTTCTCAAGTCTCCCTTTGCAGTCGCCCTCGTTTCCAGTGGTTCAGCTGGGAGTGAGGCCATGGCCCCAACTTTGGGCTCCCCTACCTCTCCCCTGGGATCCAAGGCCCCGAGCTCTGCAGTCCTGAGAGCAGGGCGGGCCCGAAAGGCTAGGCCATGTGAGGAGGAAACTGTACTATGGACCTCAGACATGCAGCTGCTTCCCCTTGGGATGCCCGGCGCTGGCCCCTACCTGAAGCAGGGGTGCTGCTGCTACTTTCAGCAGGGCCTGCACTGGTCGTGGCTGCAGTCTGCAGGGGTAGGCCTGCAGGTGCGCTGGCCAGCACTGCAGGAGCTGGCGGAGGTGGAGGTGGCGGTGGCGGTGGCGGTGGTGGGGGGGGTGCTATGAGCACCCCACCCTCTAGGTCTGGAACACAGGCGTGAAGCTGAGCACGCGGGAAGCAGGCTGAGTTAAGGGAGCTCCCAGCCCGGTCCACTGCCCAGAACCCAGCTCACCAGCCTTGAAAGGTGTGTCCACCTCTGTCTGGAAGGCAGGGAGCTCCGGGATGGCACCAGGGGCAGAGGGGGCAATGCCTGGGCCCAGGTCGGCACTGTACATGAGGTCATTGGCAACGCCGGGCAGGTCAGGCAGGTAGGATGGCACATCAATCTCGGGCACCTGACCGAGGTCTGGCACATAGAAGTAGTTCTCAGGGACCTGTGGGGGAGCACATGCACCATGGCTACAACATGAGGACATGGTCTGCAGGGTCACCCTGGGCCCCACAGAGCCCTCTACACCCCAGGACAGCTCGGAGCTCCCAGGACCCTGGCCTCTAGCACCCCCCACCTGCCGCTCAAGCTCCTCTCTCTTGCTGATGGACAGAGGGGCATCGAACAGCTTCTCCTCCTCCTCCAGCATCACATGGGTCTTCGTGACCGCCCCTGCCAGTGGGTCCAGGAAAACGTACTTCTTGTACCTACAGGGTGAGTGAGGTTTAGTCAGGCTTCCTGCTTTGGGGTACATCCTGCTCTTTGATGCCTAGGGCTCACCAGCTCTCACACCCACATTGCACCCGACCTAATGTGCTTCTCCCCCCAATCCCCTCAGCGCCCCCTGGGCCCTACAAGTTCTCTGTGGTATTGAACAGCAGCAGGGAGCTGACGGAGCTGATGTTGCTGGGGAGCCCGCCGAGCCCCTCCTCGGTCTCATCCTCAGGCTCTGGCTTGGTGTTCACACACAGAGGGAAGAACTTCAGCTTTTCCTGGGGGTGACAGGGATGTGGGGGGCTCAGCACCTGGCACCGTGCACCCTGTTTTGACCCAGCCTGAACCCTTGGGTATCAGCAGCCCATGTGGACCCGGTTCCCGCACCCTGGCCTGGCTGTGGCCCCAGACCTGCAGGGCCCGCTCGTCCAGTGGCCGGTGCTTGCTCTGGATGCGACGGCGCGGCCTTGGCTGGAGGCCCGGGTCCTGTGCGCCTGAGAAGACTGAGCTGTAGTCCTGCAGGCGCTCAGGGGCCGGGAACTTGGCGCTGGAGAACACCTGCGGGCAGGGACCGAGGGCTGGGGAGTTGGGCGGGGGGTGGGGGTGGGGGCGGGGCTGATGGGCGTGTGCTCCCCACCTTGATGGCCTTCTTGCTCCCCTTGAGCTTCTCGATCTTGGCCTGGCTCTTGGAGATCCGCTCCCCAAGCACCCGCAGCTGCCTGTGGCTCAGCTCCACACGCTGGGAGATCCTGCCATGCAAAGGCCACGTCAGGGGCTGCACCAAGCCACTCCAGCCCAGCAGCCTGCAGAACAGCAGGCGCCCTCTATGGACTCTGGGTCCGGCTCCCTCAGCCCCCGGGCTCCCTGTCGCTGTCCCAGGGACCCACTGTGACAGGCCTACAGGAGTGGTCCTCACTTCACAGGGCTCAGTTCCTTGGGGCCCACCGTGATCACCTGTGGCTGTGGCAGAGCTATCCGCACCCGCCCCGTGGGCCCGCGTAGGGTGCGTGAGAACCTGGGCTCTGTCAGAGGAGGAAACTGCGGGAAGCAGGGCTGCAGCCACTGCCAGCACCTGACCCGACTTGGCGAGAGTGGGGTGCGGGTCTGGGGGGCCCTGCTCCTCTCGCTTTACACTCTACAGCACGGGACCCTGCTGTCCCCCCGGGCCAGACACACACAGGCAGACTCAGGACCCACCCCTCTGCAGACACCCCAGTGACTGGGTCATGGCAGCCTCCTCAGAGAGCTGCCCGGGGTCTCCCTCTGCTGGTTGCAGGCGGAACTGCAAGAATAGCCTTTCCTTCCCTTAGGAAAGAGCAGAGCCAGAATTGGGGTGATGAGGGTCACAGTACTGGGGTTATGGAGCCCCTGGGCTACGCTGGACAGTTGGGGATGACCTCGGGCACTCGTGAGGGAAGCTTGCAGACCCGGAGCTGCTCCCACACAGCAGCCATCTGGGGCCCACAGGTCTGGGAGTCATTAAAGGGGCTGGGCTCGGAGAGGAATCCCAGGACAGGGTAGCCCTCCCTCCGCTGGGAAGGGCAGTACCCACCTGCTGAAGATGTCTCCTGAGACCTCTTTGAGGTACTGCAGGGCATCGGCCACCTGCTGGATGGCTTCCTCCCGCCGCAGGTCTGGCTGGATGAGAGGGATGGCGTAGGTCTGGCCAGCTGAGGGGCCCGGGGTCCTCACTGAGGTCATGGTGCTGTGGGTGGGGCCGGAGTGTCAGGACCATGGGCAGGGTGTTCGCATGACAGTGGGCAGCAGCCAGGGACCCTCGGTACAACAGAGTCCAGGTCAGTGAGAAGAGGGCCTGAGGAAGGAGGGTGCAGTAATGGAGGACCAGGAGGAAATAGAATGAACCAACTGCACGGCACGATGTGCTGCCCTCGGAACCTCTGTTCTTTCCATCTCCCATTCTTCAGATTGAAATCTGCCTTGGCTCTTTTTTGGGGGAAAGGCCCTTGTGCCTTCTCAGAGGCCACCATAGCCTTTCAGGAACCCCTGCCCTGTACTAATGCTGATGCGTCTGCTACCCTCTAACTTAGTTCAATCCTTTGCTTCTCCAGTCAGGAGAGGGGAAAAGAGAAAGTGCTTTCTGTGCTTGTCCTGGGATGAACTCTCCTTAGTTACACATCTGGGTGTGTGAGGGAGAAATCCAGGCTCAGGTCTCAGCAAGGACCTGCAGGAGTAAATGCGGCCACCCTGAGGCTTCCTCCTGCTGTCTACAGACAGCTAATGCTGAGCTGTTAAGTGGAGACCAGGACCACCACAACAAAGATGCGAAAGACACTGCGAGGCAGGGACACAGCCTCAGAGACAGCAAAACCCTCAGGATAAGCACCCAGTCCAGCCTCCTATAAAGTGCTAAGGAAGAAACTGCTTCCAAGTCAGGAGCCCAGAAAAGCCTCTTAGCAGACTACACTGCTCTCCAGTGCAAGGGAGCAGCAACAGGACAAGAAATGAGGCCAGGAAGCTTCAGGACAGCTGCCACCCATGACGCTGCCCAGTCTGGGGGCCACCAGCTCTGCTGCAGACAGGAAGCACTGGAAGTGTGGCTTGCTGGAACTGAAGGGCACTCAGTGCGAAGAGTACCCCAAATCCCAAGGCTTAGAGAAAAACTAATGCAAAATAGGTTTCTATGGGTTCCATGTTGCAGTGATCACATTTAAACCTGCTGGGTGAAACAACATATATTACTGATTTCATCAGTTTCTTCTTACTTTTAAAAGCAGGTGAGAGGGATGAGGATTTAGCTCAGTGGCACAGCGCTGCCTGGCAAGTACAAGGTCCTAGGTTCGATACCTGGTACCAAAAAAAAAAAGTTTATGTGAGTTAAAAGCACCAAGTGACTGGATTCTAACCTAAGGACCAAATTAATCATAATAGTCTCCTATTATCATCCCCTCTGCTAATATCTGGTAGCCCTTAAATAATTATCATGAAGATAATCATCTGAACCATCTTTCAATATATTTTCATATGCTACAACATCATCACCACTATTAACAATGCTCATGAGTGGTAATAGTAGTAATAATCATTACTTCAGTTACCTAATACCTATACACCTTAGAGCCATTCCACTCCTTCTCGAAGAATTATTTCATTCTTAGTGAATTTTTCTTTATCCCCAGTTTTTGACAAGGAAATAAAGGTGGACCAACCAAGCAGCACTGTGTCAGTCATCAAAATGCTACTTGGGATCAAGCCAGACTTAAGTTGTACTGTGTGAATTCAGAACTTTGTGACATCAGTATTTTGTTTTGTTTTGTTTTTTGTTTTAATGCATTCAAATGCAAATCTTAGGAAGTCAAAAGTTTCAGTCTCATGTGTGAGGCACTGTCCGGACCCTGGTGTAGGGTGGTATTTGTCTAAGGGGAGGTGCTGGGGCCCTACACCAGGCCCATCAGGTCCCCTACACTTTCTGGACCGGGACCTGGCTCTGTCATCTCCTCACTGCACTCTGAAAGGGAAAAAGCCCAGTACAGAGAACAGTCACCTTCTAAGAGGCCCTCGGCCTCCTTGAAAACGATTCACAACCCCCTTGGAGGGCATAATCAATACCCTAGAAAGCTGGGGATGCAGTTGAAAATAAAAGCTGGACATTTCACCCAAAGCAGGCCACCTTGGGGAGTTTTGTTACTGTAAGTCCTGGCTCCATAACTGCTGCCTGCAATCACTCTAGGCCTCTGACACCTCCTGCTGGCTCAGCTTCACTTTTACTGCTTTTTTCTCTCTTCCCCCTCTCCCCCAACCCACTGAGCTTCATCTTCAGCCCTCTTTTTACGCTTTATTCTGAGACAGAGTCTCCCTAGGTCTCTCAGTTGCCAAAAGTGGGCTGCAACTTGCGACCCTCTAATCTCGCCTCCCAGAGTGGCTGGGTCACAGGCGTGCACCACCCTGCCCAACTTGCAGATCCTTTCCAAACCGGGAATGAAGATCTGCCCCGAACGCTGGTGCTGCTGCTGCTGCCTGGACCTGGGGCCCAGTGGTCTCAGGGCGACTGCAGGATAGCGCGACCCACGCGCAGTCATAGCCCACCTCCCTTGACCTCAGCCCCGCCCCCTGCCTACACCCCACACCCCACGCCCCAGGCCCAGCCGGTGCTTGCGCTCCTACCTGGCTCGGCAGCCCTAAAGCCCGGAAGCCCGCTGCCGCCTGCCTTCCTTCCGCCGACGCCGTTGGGTCCTAGCGCCGCCCTGCCTCAGGGCTGAGCTGCCGGCCTCGCACCTTTGGCCCTGCGCCCCTCCTGCGATCAGAGGCTTTCAGCCTCCTTGAGTTGAGACTCGATTTATCCTGTGGGGAAAGACGCTTCCTTGCCAGCGCCTTCGCTCAGGGCATAGCATTCAAGGAGGTCCTGAATCTGATTCCCCGGCCCAAATAAATGAGGAATGTGGAAGCCAGGCGCAAAGACGCGGTCCACAAACCCGGCTCCGGGCGGACACCGAGGCGCAGTCCCATCCGGAGCAGCCGAGCTCCCTGGCCGACTCCAGAGAAGCCGCGGTGACAGCGAGGCCTGCGCTTCTCCCCCGGGAAGGAAGTGAGCCGAGTCCCAGACAGCGCTCCCTGCCCGGACCTGGACATCACCCGCACCCCGGGAGGCAGAGGCATTGGACACGCGGGGTCACCAGCGTTTCATACGCATTGCCTAGGCGAGGGCTTTGTACTTTTTTTTTTATTATTTCCAAAAGGCAATCTCCTAAACTCCTCCTTCTGTCCTCAGATTTAATCTTTGGTGTGGGGAGTGAAAGCACTCAGGTTAGGACCAATGTGACTGCATGGATGCCTGGAATTCTCAGTCAGGCTCACAGAGACACTGGACTGTGAAGCAGGGTAGGGAGAGGCGTTGGTTTTGGATGGGCTGGGTTTTAACATTAATTCAGGAAGATCCAGCGCTTCCTGAGAAGGGCGGGGTGACTGCAAACCCTGTGAACGCTGTGGGCCACTGACCTGTTCCCAGAGGAAGATGGCCAGGCCCTGGTGCACACCACACACACAGAGCTCAAAGTGGCAACGTTAATGGATATTTAAAATCACAATGAAAAACTAGCAGGAAGAAAGCGGGGCGGGGTAGAGAGCAAGGGAGAAAGGAATAGAAAAACAAATGCTTTTTAAAAAGTTAAATCTGCAGAAGCTCCAGCCCAGAACAGGCAATGGTTCTTCCTGTGAGCCCCTGGCTTGGTCTTGCAAACCTTTCAAGGTCACTAGGTGAAAAACTACTGGATTTCTAATAATTTTGCATTTCAGAGAAACAGTAGTAATGTTTTTTAACATAAGCGTGTGCTTTGCTTAGTTTCCTATCTACTTGTACTAAAGCATTGTTTTTCTGGCATCCACTATTAACTAGGCATCCCAGATTTTCACTTGGTTAACTCAGCAACCCTCCTAAGAGCTCAGGACTGCCAGCTTCCTTCATGTGTGGCTTAGAGATCTGGGGCCTCTTTTCCTGGTTGTCCCTGTCTCTGAAGTGCTGTGTCTCCAACTGGCCTCTCTCACCCTGCCCTTTCACTGTGCCTCTCCTAGAGGCCAGCAACAGTGCAGGGAAGGGGGCAGGGTCCCTGCAGTTGTGGGTAACTGTGGTAGGCAGGACTGGGCTTCTTGGGATGCTCTGGGGCTTGCTGAGGTACAGGTGTCCGAGGACAGGCCTTCTGCCTGCAGGACACTGGTGGACAGCATATAAGCATCCTGGGGTCCACTGAGCCTGAGTTTCACATTGCAGCCCACCTGTCACTCCTGTCCTGCCTTGTGTTCTTTTCTGTGTCTGATGCCTCCACTAGTCTGATGCCTGGGCCAGAACAAAACCAATCAAAGCAAAACAATGAAAGCATAACAAGACTTCCAAACAGGATAATAGGAAATAAACAATGGTTACCATAATATATATTTTCTTACAAATAGCTGCCCATACTATCACACATAATAAAACAAAGCAAAGCAGAATAAAAACAATCAAAACAAAACAATAAAAACATTACAGGACTTCTAAACCAGAAAATAGGAAATCAAATGGCTATCATAATATATCTTATCTTCAAAGTAGCTCCCTGTACCATCAGACACAGTAAAATCTAACAAAACAAGACAGAACAAAACCAAACTTAACAAAATGATGAAAATGATATAAAAACTCAAAATAAGACAACTGGACATTAACAGTGGATACCACTTTCCCTTTTTAGGCCTTTCTTCCCCTATCATTTTCATATGTATTATGCTTTTTTGGAAATGACTAACTCCTTTGGTTTTTTGTGCTAGGGAGATAACTTGGTGTTCAGATGTATGAATCCAAACCATTTCACCTATGAGCATCACCCAGTTGCACCCATTTACCCACAAAAGCCTTGAGATTATCCTATTTTGTAGCTGAGTAACTTTCCATTGTATGGAAATACTGTATCTTTCTTATCTATTCTGTGGTTGATGGGCAAGTTATGCTTGCTTTTTTTCTGGTCTCCAGTAACATGAACAATTGTTTTCTCTCTGATTATTAGCCTTTGAATGTCCTTCCCAGTTAAACGTATTTCCTGTATACAGTGTATTGAAGGGTCATGTTTCTTGATCCTCTTTCCCTGTTTAGTGGTGAATCAAGGCCATCTACATTAATGATTACAATCGGCACACTTTGGTTCATCTCTGCCGGGGTATCTTCCTGCTGTTGGCCCTTTACTTTTTCACTTTGTTCAACTGCCTGTCCTGTTTGGTGGTCCTTCTCTGCTGCTGTTCCTGGAGCCCTGGGCATCCTTATGTCTCTCTAGAATATCCTTCAGCACTATCTGTAGGGTTGGTTTGATTATGATGAAGTTCTTCAGTTGTTCATCATGGAAGTATCTTATTTCTTCAATAATTTTAAAAGATAATTTTGTAGGGTACATCAATCTGGGTTGGAAGTTGTTTTCTTTCAGGGTTTGAAACAGTTCACTCCAAATTCTTCTTAACTTGATGGTTGTGTTGACAACCATCTGATTGATTCTGATTGGTTTTCCTTCATAGGTGATCTTCTTTTCTCTAACAGCTTTTAGCATTCTGTTCTTTTGCTGAATTTCTGAGATCTTGATTATTATATGTCTGGATGTAAACTTACTTTGGTTATGGTTAGTTGAAGTTCTATATATCTCACTTATCTGTATGCCAGATCCTCTTCCCATGTTTGATAAGTTTTCTGCTATTAATTCTATGAATGGTCTTTTTATTTCATTTGTGTTGACCCCCAGCTTTTTTGCTGATATGCATCACCTCTAAATTATTTTCTTTGTGTTGTCTTGCAGCTGTTGAATTGTTATTTCTTGATTCCTCATTATTTTTAAGAGATCTTTCCTTTTACTATCACTAGCTGCAATCCTGTCTTCAAGGTCTGAAAGTATCTTTAGTCTCTTTTAATCAGTTTTGCTAGCTTTTGATTGACTTTTTAAATTCCTGGATCTCTTTGACTCTGTTTCATGCATTGTAATTCCTTCCTATATTGTTCATTCAAAGTTTTCATCATTTTCCTATGCTTTTTTTTATCTATGTCTTCTTCAGATATTCTCAGCAATGCTTTGTGTTTTTGACTTCTTCTGATTTACATGATGTATTATCTGTGATCTGATTACTTTTACAGCCTCATGAAGTTGTTTCTTTACTCTAGTTGCTATCCTCTCAGAGATTTCATGTGTGTGGCTTCCACTGTCTTCCATGACTGTATCTCCCAGGCCTCTTCTTTGTGGGTTGGAGGTCTGAGAACGCTTCTAGCTCCTTCATCTTGACATTCTCCTGGGTTCCTCCCAACAAAACAATTGTGGAGTCCCAGGGACTCCCACATTGGCTGACCCTCTGTGGTGAGGAGAATGGAACAGGCCCCTTGGGTTTCTCTGACCCCAGATTCCTAAGGAGTAGCGGCGAATGGGGGAAGCTTTTTCCAGACTTGTGTAGCTACACTGAGGCTTGCTCAGTGGCTAAGGATAGATGGTGGCAGGGCTACTTCTTTCAGCCTGCATGTGTACACCAGGGCTCCCCTGATGGTGGCAGACACACAGGGGTGTTTTTGTCTGATTCTCGTGGTAGGTGATGACTGCTTGAAGGAAGCTAGGGTCTCCAGTGGAAGCATGCAGCACACAGGACATATTTGGCTGTGTGTCTCTGCCCTCAGGAAGAAAGACTTTCTGATGGTGGGGTCAGGCACATAGGGTAGGATGTGGCTGTGTCTCCATGCCTGTGCTGTCTGTCCACAGGAAGCAAGCCTTTGGATGGTGGTGGTGGGTGTGTAGGGGTGGATCTGGCTGTGTATCTCTGCCCATGCTGCAAGTGCAGATTAATAAATTGAAAAACAACCATATAAAATAACCTAGAAGTTTTCTGAAAGTGGAGAGAAAAATATAAGTTAGTGTGAACAATGGAAGTATAATGCCACAAAAAAGTAAATAGAATAAATGATTCAGTTAAATATAAATTGTCAAATTGAAGGACAAATCATATTGCCTTTTGTTTTTTAAAAGACATTCTTAAGCTACATAAATATGGAAAAATTCAAAGACATGTTGTAAGTAGAAAGATGTTACTGATCAAATGCACACCAGAATAACTCTGGTATGTAAATACAATTTTGAAACAAAAACAAGTTAATGCATACTTCATTTATTATTGTATAGAGGTTCAAATTATCACAAAAAATTAATTTTGATATTATAAAGTTATAAGTCATAACATTTCCAGATATTGTAGCCTCAAATCAAAAAGAAGAAACTGAAGAATTTGATGATGTTGATGAAGAGGAGGAGGAGAAAGATATGTGGGGAGATTTAGAGGAAGGAAAAAAGAAATATCAGTAGGGAAATATATGGCTTTATACTGAGAAATCACAACAATCATGTCTTAAAGAAAAAAATAACGTCTATGCATTGATAGAATATTTCAAAATTAAATTAGCAAGCTGAATTCATCATACAGATAGCTATATTCCCTAACACAAGAGTACATACTCCGGGCCATAGGCAGCTTAGTGGTAGAGGCTGTGTCAGACATGTGGGAGGCCCAGAGTTTATTCTACACTACTTTGGGGAAAATAAGAATTTTTCATTCACATAGAGCTTATTAATAAGGAGTGAACATGAACTGGGCTGTAGGTCAAGAAGCAACACATCCCAAGTGTGATGGTGCACACCCATAATCACAGCACTCTGGGTGGAAGAGGCAAGTTCAAGACCAGCATGGGGAACATAACTACATAGCAAGACTCTGTCTTAAAATTAAAAGCTAATGAAGACATGTGATAATTAAGGACAATACAGGACATTTTTTGTTGTTTCTTGACAAAATTTCTGATATCAAGGGATAT